GGTGGTGTTGGTCAGGGAGCAGGTCTACTAGCCAAGTACAGAAGTAGACGTGGCACTCCAATATACAGTTTAGCAGGTGTGATGGTGTTCAGTTCAAAAGTTGTACTTGATGGTCTTGAAGGGCTTTTCCAGCCTTTATGACTCTGTGATTTATAATTCTATGGCCTTTTTATTTCCCACAGGTCCTTAGTGTCCTAAGCACCATGTGCATTCAGTCTGGGTCCACTCATGGCTTGTGGTACTTGTTAGCAGTTTTGGCAGCTTACAGTAACTCTAGCACATAATTAATATCATAATCAGCACTTCCTGTAATCTGAAGGATCTCATAGCACTGTAATTAATTTCTTACGGTGCCCCTTTTGCCATCATACAAACAATGACAATTTCATCTCCTGTTTTAGGAGAAAAACAGTTTCCCATGCTCATGTCTGCAAATTTCCTGAGTGAACCATAGGGATTTGAGAGCACAAGGCAGATAAATAAAGCCACAGCTACAGTCCTAGACCAAGGAGACTGAATCACACTTCTCAAAACCTTCCATCCAGCAAAGCTGTGTGTCAGATCACTGTCACTGTATGAGTAGTCAGTCATGGCCTCTGCAATATAATAAAGAGAAAGGAGGAGGGAATTGAATTAATTAAAATTTCTTAAACCCATCCTTTTACACACACTTTTAAACATACTTTTACATTTTGTGGGAACTTAATCACTCATGAAAACCCTAACTTCTTAAGCATACCCTGAGCCTCTCACTCATTCTATAGCTCAGCATCCTGCAACACTATCTGCTACACCTCCCATCCCTCCAGAGCTCCTGCACTGAGTCCAGCTTTCCCATCAGACTTTTTTGCACAGGCTGTGACAAGCTACTTCCCAAATTGCATCAGACTCTTTGAATCCAAACAGCCCTGTGAGAAGGGTTCTCATCTGGGCACCACAAATGGTTTTGTAGTTTCCTAGACTTGTAACCTCACAGCTCCTTTTATCATCCACAGAACCCACAACCAGCTCCTCCTTTGGAAATCATCTGCCAATAGTTTTCAGGTTTCTCTCTAGTAGGCCACGCCATTTCTAGCAGAATCCTGCTTGGAAGAGTGTGCTATGATCTGATACTCCCTACCAGATTCTTCTGAGGTTAAAATCTGAATCCACCACTGGATTCACAGAAACACAAGTTTCTGGGCAAGATGTTCAAGATTATTCCCTGGACATGAAATCTGACATGAGGGGTGACCAAGGGTTGCAGTGAGCTGTGAAAAGAAACTTTCCCTTCCTGCCATCTGTGACGTCTGAAAGCCAAACTACTGTGTCTGCAGTGGCAGCATCCAAACGTCCAGCCACCTGCACATCAGTTCCTGCCCTACCAGAACTGGTAAGCCTTACAAGTATGCTTGGAGTGATTTATTAGGTGTTTCCAAGTTACATGCAGGGGTAAATTTTGTTCACTCATACACATGAGAGAACTCAGTGATCCTATAGGTCTTTTCCAACCTAAATAATTCTCTGATCGTAAGACAGTCAATCACAGTTCAGATATGTATGAGGAGGGAGAGGTGCTTCTTCTGTGTGTCAGCAATAGAAGTGGGTACTAAATACTGTTCTTCACAGCTGAAATCCAGAGAAGGGAAAATATTGAGGAAATCTGGGAACAGCATGTTTTCATCCAGTAGAGGTGTCCAAGGAGTTCGGAGGTGAGACCATGCAGGTTTTGACACAAGGTTATCCTACTCCTGAACTGTGGAGCATTTGCTCTCTGCTACACAGCTTTAAGGTAAAATACATTCTCCAAGAAAAATACATCACCCTGGAGCTGGGATCCTTCCCACCCAACACTTTGTGTCTTGACTGGAGGCACCTCTGCCAGTGGTGGATGTCACAGTGCAAATGGGAGTGTGCAGTTTAATTAGAAGATGATCTCCAAGAGCACTACTGACTCAGTCATCCTGTGAATTTAATACACATTCAGATGCAGACAATTACCCTTTGCTGATGCCCAGATTTGGTCAGATGGCTCTACCCTACAAAATCACCAGCCTGTTGGGCAAAATTCCTTCATGTCCATCTCCCTTTTTCAGATCTCCTATGGGTTTTCTGTCTGCCACCAGGATTTCTGGTTGGCCCAGCATTTTGGGAAAGAGCTGAAACTTCAAAGGAGAGAGAGGGAATGGCAGGACATGGTCAATTTTCCACTGTCTGGGAAGCCAGGACAGTGGTCTGAGCCCTCTTGGCTATACAAAAGGGGAGATAAAGGCTGTTGTTGACATGGTGGGTGTTGAGAGTGAGGAAGGCAGCTCCAGCCATGCAGAGCTATCAGTGTCTGTGTCTCTGGTGGCTGAAGTATCTGCAAGATCTCAGGGAGGATCTTAAGTATAAGTATTTACTCGTCTGCATGTGCGCGCCTGTGTGGGAGTAAGTTTTGTATATGTTATAAGGAGAAGCAGCAGATGGAAACAACCCATTTTGGTGTCTAAGGCCTGGTTCAGAGACCATTAAAATCAGCAGGAGCCATTCCACTTACAGTGGTGGGTTCTGACCACATCTCTCCTTGCCCTTCCCCAGCATGCCTATGACCTCAAGGGCTGCTCCTTGCTGCATATCCTCAATTTAACCCTGTGAGCAGTGGGGCTTCCCATGTTTCCCAGAGTGGTGGCTTTACAGGGATCTCTGGACATGCCCCCACCTCTGCTGTCACACCCTGCAGTTACAAGCCAGAATCTGAGATCAGGAAGGCTCACCATCCTATCACCTTCATGCAGTCTATCACATTTCTCCCAGTTTTGCCTGAACTGTTTTTACTGACAGGTCTTCATTCTGGGTTTCAGATATCAAAAGCTGATGAACCTTTGGTCTAATGGTTACATTCTGTGCACAGTGATGCTGTTACTTTCTCTCCTTTGGTTTTGTCAGGTTATTGCTCCACTAACAAGTATAAAAGAGCTCTTTAGGATCTTATCACTTCTACATAAGTGTGGTAACAGCCTACAAACAAGGAATATCCCTGCCTTTTATTTTCAGTAAAATCACATGTTTATGCTCCTGAGGACCTTCACTGTAAAGCGTTTTATTTCATGTTTTCCATTTGTAACAGCATTTTAAAATGTGGACACTGGCACAGGACCAAGCACAAGGGTATCAGTCATAAAGATGCAAGGATCTTTCCACTCGTCACTCCATCATTTATGCAACAGCTTTGTTTGCCACAACATTGAGCTAGAGGCCAAATTAAGCTGCTTCTTCTTTCTGCACCACAACCCTCATCAGAAATATTGCTGCCTGCTCTCCCCCTTGTCCCATACCACCCCAGCACCATGGGTCTCTGGATGTGTATCACCCAAGTCTCGACCAGGCTGAACAGATCCATTCAGCTTTAGCACCCTGATAACATCACAGGCTGTCGTGGAATGAACAGAAAGTGAAGGGTTGAGCCGTCGAAGCGGATCGAGATCTGCCGCGGGAGTGCCATGGACAGTAATGAAATGTTCCACGTGAGCGTGCAGGAGGTGTGTTCAGGGATAATGTACTTACATAGATAGAGAATTTTTTTAATTCCAGGATTTTATCAGATCTGGAAAAATGCTGAATGAGTGGGTCACTGCAGTATCAGTGTATTGGTACACCATGAAGAGGGAGCTGTGTTCCTTCTCTAACATCCAGGCTGTAATTGTACAGCCTCTGCAAATAATTAACTGAGTCTAACCAGGCTTTTTTCCTGCATTAAATCCATATTATTAGTTTGCTCCCTACCCCAAAAATTAATTTTCACTCTCAGACCCACACCCCTTTATAATAATAGATAGTGTGACATTTTATCCCAAATAATTTGGTGGGAGTACCAGGATGAAAGGATTTTGAGCCTGTTTGGGAAGAATGGAAATCTGGGGAGACAAAAGCTGCAGGAACATTCAGTCACCATGCTGCAAGTTATAAGCTGATCACATATACATTCATGCATACACATGTAGGCATAGTCGTCTCACTGCTGCCACGTGTTCTGGTCTGGTATCAGCAAACAAGGCTATACTAGCACTGAAATAGGAGATTAAATTGCATTGCTTGATCCCTGGAACTCCATGCCCAAAATGCAGGTTTGCACTGTGAGCTGGGGCTATTAGGGGCAGACACAACCGTGAACTTTGCTTAATAGTCCCACTCCAAACTGGGCCATTTGTCTGGGAACAGACACACAGTGAGATGCTGACACCCCTCCACTGCACACCTCGGCATCTCCCAGAGCTCTCACCACTCCATCCTTCAGCCCACAGCCAGTACTAACTCCCAGGTATGGCAATGCTGCCTGATGAGGTGTCTTTCTTCGTGCTTTTGTGTGATACCAACCCAAGGATACCCATGAGGCAAGGGGTGGCTGGAGCAGAATAGCCAGGGGTTGGCGAATGTAGAAGTGGGAAGGCTACACAAGCTGTGGGTGTAGTTCAGCCAACAGAAAGGAAATAAGCATTGAGCTGAAGTTTCCTTGGACTCCCAGTGGTCTGTCACCATGGAAAGCTACCTATTTTATGAAAATAAATGTTCCCAACAAAAGCATTTATTCCAGATAATCATGAAACTCCAGATAATCACGAGTGTCTGGTAAGGTGACTTCTTGCCAAAAGCAGGTTGCTTATTTTAGTGTCTTACACTCTGAAGCAAATATTCTTTGTGGCCCAGGGCCACAAGCAGCCCTTTGAGCTGAGGGGCTCCTCCTCAGACAAATAGGATACAAAGGCTGGAAAAAGGGGCAAGTGACCCTTCTACTCAGAGTGAAACTCTCAGGAACTCATCTCCAGTCCTTTTTTCAGATTCTGGAAAAGTGGCTTTGTAAGTTGCCACTTACACTGAGATAGTGGATGTAAACTCCAGGGCAGTCTTGAGAGCTCCCACTTCCTGTGCAGGGTTTGAAGACTTCACACAGTCTCATATGGTCCCAGTGTGGACAAAGCACTGAGACAGTGCAACACAAAACCAACCACAATTGAACTGATGAAGATTTAAATGAGATTAAATCAATGAGGAAACAAAAGAAGTGTGATGTCTTTATTCTGTGAAAATATAAAAGAAGGGCTAATCTGAAAATAAAATCCCCATACAGAAGAAGCTACAGCAAAAAGGACTAAGTTGCAAACCACTGCTGGAGTTTGCTGTGGGTTTTGCTCAACCCAGCAGCAGTGACAGTCAGAAAAGTACCTTCTCCAGGATGAATCCTGACAGGATAGGAAGGAAGGTCATGTGTGGAGGGGCAGCCCCAGCAAACACCACGCTGTACATGGCAGATGCTGGTCTGCAATGGAACCGTTTCAACTTTATGTCCATCATCCCCAGGCTGTTTTTTCCATCTCCTACCATATTGCATTCAGAAATGGTGGTGCAACCCTTCATGGCAGCTTTCAGAGACAGTCCACCTATGCAGGAGAAATACAAGAAATACATGCCATGCATCAGGGGATACAGTCCCTGACTGGATTATTCCCACCCTGGTCAGTGCAGTCCCCATTTCCAACCTAAGAACTGCCCATTCATGATATCCAGTTGGTTCCAAACCAACCAGCCTCGTCTGTTCCCATCCCCTGAACAAAGCTGATGAAACTGCAAGGCCATCTTGGTTGACTTGAAATAAAAATGGTTTAAGGTTTGTCTCCTTTCTTTCTGCTAAATAAAGATGACTTTTAAAAACTCTAAGCATTTAAATTTAAAAAGTGAAAATGTCTTAAGTAGCTCTTTTTCTCATGTTTAAAGATTCTTCTGGCCAAACTTTGCCTTCCCAAAGAAACCAGGGCTGTGTAACAGTACACCAGGTATTCATTGTCCCCTCCTTTCTCTGACCCTCTCAGGACACTCAAACTGGGTGACTTTTCCCTCAGTCAGGTTTGACATGGAGTTGAGAAGTCTCAAGGACAACCCTGAGCCATTTATTAAGAGGAATTAATTCTCAAAGGCTTTATAGGATTTTAGCCAAACCAAGAGGGAAACCTACTGACGGGGTGCTGAAACCTGAACTTGTCCTTTGCCACCACAGGAGCATTTACCACAAGAGGAGACCTGAGCAGGTGCTGAGTGCCTAACTCCCCATTCAGATATTCTTGCTCCTGTTTCTCCTTTTGCTGATACTTTTCATATGTCTCTGCTGTGCAGGCTATGGATGTCTGGAATACTTTGCTGGACAATTTTATCTCAAATACAAATAACATATAAAGGCACTTCACTAGTTCCTCACCTTCCTGTACTCCCCTACACTGCTGCTTTCTCTGCACAGTTTATCACACTGCACAGGCCTTCTCCATTCACAGTGGCTGATCAATCAAGTTAAGACAAGAGTATGTTTTATTTCACTGCTACATTGAATTAATTTTGCCACTCTTTTTATTGCTGTGACTATGAAAATGCTTGTTTTCCTTCATGTTGTCTCTGTGAAACATGATTTAATTTGGGGTTTGGACGGCACATTAATAAAGTCTATAGGAATGATCTTCAGACATCACATCATCACCTAGCAATATTATCAACTCAAAGGAACTTCATCCATAACCATATAAACAAGATAATTGCTTTTCAGTCTGCTTCCACAGCTGGTGTTTCTGCCCTTTATTTCCATGGGTTTTTTCCTGCCTGCTGGAACACAGGTGTTCCATGAAAGGTGTGCCATTTTACCTGCAGCAGAGGTGGAAAGGAGGGTGACCAGAAAAACTGCTGTCTACTTTCCTGTTTCTAATTACAGGATCTGCGTGGGGAAAAGATTTCTGATGGAGCTGTTCAAAGGCTGGACTTCAAGGCAGGGGACCAATTCCCAGCTTTCTTCATGCAGAAGCACCACTGCAACAGTGTCTTGTCCCTAGTGACTGGTATTACCCCATGGGAAACCAGTGTTTCTGCAAAGCTCCATCTGAACCTCCTCTGAACTCACAGCTGGCTTAGATCTGGATTCACCCTCATACATCCTAGCTAGTTCAGAGGCTTGGTCAAGCTTATTATACACCTTTGTACCAGACTGCCCCAAGAAACCAGTCTTTTGCCCATTTTTATCTCAGTAGTGCTTCATCTTAGACTAGTTTTTCCCATTTTACTGAGAAGATGAAAAACAGCCCCAAATAATAGGCAGTTACCAGCATTCATTAACCCAGCAAGGTCAACGCATTGGTCTTCAGATCCAGTGCAGTTTACAACTTCATTACCACACTGAAAGGAGTCCACACTGTAGCAGGCAGGACACTGGTATCCATTGGGCACATCATTATCTGGCGGCACTGGAATGAAAAACATGGGCTGTAGTTGGCTTCAGTGAGGGAACGAGAGGAATAACCCAGGTGATGGCTTAGCCTGGAAGGCCTTACCATGGGATGGATCAGACAGAAAAGGAAGAGGCTATAAAGAAAATAAAGAGTTTACATGACACAGAGGTGGTCTGACAGTCATCGCCTGTGCAGCAAACCAAGTGGCTCTTTGCTTTCACCTTCCCATAGTTCACTGTGACAGGACCAAGGTGGCAGATGTGGGATGGCAGGCAGGACTTGATGGATGAAGAGATGGACATTCCCCCTGTCGGGAAGCAGAAGGCAGAGTCAAGTTGCTCAACACAAAGTAATTCCCCTCCCATTAGTTCCTGTACCAACTTCTAGGCAGCTGTCCCAGGGCCTGAGAGGGACATCACCTGAGAGGGACTAAGCTGAGAAGCATCACCAGTGAGCCAGGATACCCCATCTGCAGAGATGATGGTGTGACACGTGCCTCTGACCCACTGCACAGGGTTGTTCAGCCTGTGTAAAATCTGCAGAGTGCACAGCCCATCACAGCCACAAGCATCGTGGTTGTGACAAGCAAGTCTGGTCTACCCCATCAGCCAAGCCCAAAAGGTGTAAAGGGGAGCAGAACAGCTGAACTGAGTCTGCTGAAGTGCTTGAAGGATGAAGGGTAGGTAGCAGAAGAAAGCAATCATTGGAGCTGTCAGCACCAAAGCAGGCAGGATAGAGCCAGACTCCAGTCTAAAAGGCAACAATGACACCACTGAGGCTGAGCAATGACTGAGGCCATGCCTCTAACCCTACTGAGTGTCCAGCTGTGTCAGGGCTCAGCACCAGCTTTGACTTATCCACCACAGGGGACATGGTTACTGGATAACAACATTTCCTGTGAGGACAAGCTGAAGCAGTTGGGGTTGTTCAACCTGAAGAAGAGCAGGCTCCGAGGTGACCTTATATGAGGGTGGTGAGATGCTGGAACAAGTTGCCAGGAGAAGCTGTGGATGTCTCCCATCTCTGGCAGTGTTCTAGGCCAGGCTGGATGGGGTTCTAAGCAACCTGGTCTAGTGGAAGGCCTCCTTGCCCAGAGCAGGGGGTTTGAAACCAGATGATCTTGAAGGTTTCCTCCAGCCTAAACTGATTGATGAGGATGGTGATTATGATGATAAGGTGATAGCTCAGCCCTGGTGGCACTGCATGGTTGCATGGTGCCCCCATACCTGCTTGAGGACAGGCAAGCTTCTTTCTCCATGTGTCGCCAGGGCACCCCCAGTACTAGATGTCAGCAGCTTAGATCATGGTTCAGTCTCTCAACTTCCTGACTCAACTACTCACCTTAGGCAGAATTAAAAGCCAGTGTCTCCTCCCACTATGAGGTTTTGATCCTTCCCTCAACAACTCAAGAACCAAACCCTCCCAGTAGAAAACTGCTTCTCAAAATAGAGGAATAAGGAGCTTTTCCTATCCCAGACTATCCTGATCTCTGGGTAGTCTGTCAGTAAAATCAAACTGAGCAGGTTATCCAAGGATGGCCCATACTACCAGTGATAGAAGTGAGGAGAGAGACAGGTCCCCCAGCCAGCCCCATTCTGAAAGCCACACTGGCTTAGAGGATGTCTCACCTATTAGGACCTCATGCAGAATAATGCCACAGGTGTCTTCACCACCAGTGCAGGTTTTCTTGGGACCAGAGCAGCTTTTTCCCATGCTGTGACATATCTCACACTGGAGGCAGGTCCCTGGGGAGAGGACACATTCCTGAGCAGCAGTCATAAGGGATCTCACTTCCCCTTTCACTGATATTTGATTTCTCCACTAATCAGCACTTTTCACATTTCTCTTCTCTTATTTTTCCTGTTCCATTATGCAATATGTGTTTGGCTTTTCCTGGAGCTGCTGATGACAGCAGCCCTACAAACCCTTTCATCCTGGCAGGTACTCTGGTGTCCTGGATTCACAGACCCCAGATTCTCTCTTTGTAATGAATAAGGGCACCCAAGTGGTTTGGGAGCAAGAGCTGCCAGCAGGTACTGGCTGTACTCTGTACAAACTGGAGACTTCCTTTGTAAGCATTACCTCTTTATACATCTTTTTGTAGGCATTAGGTGAAACCACCTCACCAGATACCTGCTGGAACACTTTAGGCAGACCAGAATATCAGATACTCATCACGAAACACTTAGAAAGGAATAATGTATTTAAACAGAGGACAAATAGGACATCTTCCATGACACATAACCATAAGGGTCCAGCATGTAGATTAACAGGTCCAGGGCATGTCTCACTTCCCTAAACCCAGGTGCCAACTAAACCACCTTGCAGTGGCCATGGCATCAACTGGGACCCAAGACCTCCAAGACAGCTGTGCTTTTCTGGAGCAGAGCTGAAGGAAGGCTGAGATGACATTATGTCCAAAATGTCACACAGCCCTGGACATGAGTAAAATAAATGAGCCTGGAGATTGATTCAACTTACCGAAGGTCTGGCAGCCTCAGGGTAACATGAATCACTCTGATGGCTCTCCTGGCTTTATCACCAGTGAGCACCACAGAAAATCAGACTGTGAGCTTATGCTGTAAATGCCACCACCTTCATCTGCACATTGGCTTATAGGACCAAAGATCCCTCAAAACTGGTCACTCTTACCCCTCTGCAGTGCCAATCCCCCAAGATGAGGGGGGTTTATGGCTCGGATGGCAGGAATAACCTTATACATAAAGCACTCTGTTCCCAGACCTCTTTCATGTCTCATAACCCCAGTGAAAAACTCACCTGGGTCCAGGAAAGCCAGGAGGAAGCTGAGTCCAAGGGATACTCTCATGCTGATGGGATGTAAGCACAGGGAGCTGCCAAGTCTTTCCCCACAAAGCACTGTGTGCCACAACGGCTTTATAAACGGAAGGAAAGGGGTTCTTTTGGGGAAGTAGAGGTTGGGGAAGTTTTCTGAACAATATATATGCTGCTAAGCACAAACACCAGTGCTTACTTTTTCTTTTAAAGCACAGGTTTTGCCTTTTTCTTCACATGAGTGATGCTCCTTGTTTTTCCCCTGTTTAGAGTGTGCTTCCTGTGGGGTAAGACTGGCTTTCCTGGTGATGCCAGGTATTCTCTGGTAAAGAGTTCGAACAACGTTCAGCCTCCGCTGTCCATGTGAATGATAGAGAGGAAACCATTTCAAAAACCCTGTTGTGCTCTCACTATTAGGGCCAAAGAAGCAAAGTATAGCAAGGACCAGCCAGGAAATTCCCCTGTGTCTGAGTTTTTGATGGCTGGTTTCCCATTTCGACATTTCCATCATAGAGTCAGGAGCTCTCATGCCTGGAGTACAGAGAGAAAGCAGACAGCATCAAAGCAGTGAGCTTCCTCTCCAGGCTAGAGTGCAGCTTCATTTTGCAAAATGACTGCCAAAGCACAGCTTGGAACAGGCTCAGTCAAGGGTTCCCGGGGTTGAATACGTCAGAACAGCAAAGCCAGTACTCCAGGGCTTGGGTTTTGATATAAAACACTTGGACGTTGATAAGGAAGTCTCCTATTGTCCTTCTGGGCTTTAAATTAAACCAAGTCAGCAGGGACAAAGCATTGGTGTGGTTGCAAGACAGCCTGGTCACAGATTAGGTAAGGTTATAGCAGTTTTCCATGCCCTGGCATCTCATGATGGGCTAATGGGAAGCGTCAGTGACCAACTTGCTGTTGGCCTACAGGTTCCATGCCTCAGGTTTTATAAGGATGTGCTGCCCCACTGAAACCATAACCTGCCCTGAAGGTATCCTCTTGTCCTGCAGCATGTTGGACACAGACCCTCCAGGGCTTTTTGCGCTGACAGACAGGAAGAACTAAAGTGCCCTCATGCCTACTTCCCGTTTGAGATTAACCTCTTCAAAGGACAGTGTTCCCAATATATTGAGTAATCTGGTGAGACCACTTCTTAACCAAGCCCACAGTGCTTTGGGAATCACACTGGATAAGAGCCTTGGTCTCCCATTGTCCATACAGCTGATATCACAAGGAAACAAGGGAGAATTATATCTTCACCCTGAAATTCTTTTTCAGCTCAGAAATGGTCTCATGCTTCAGTAGTTATGTTAAAATTAAATCAAAGTCCTGACTGCAGCCTGTTCAGGATTAAAATTAATTTCTTATTGATTTTAAACCTCAGAGAGAATAAAACCATGTCTCCAGGCAGGCTGGGGTACCTAGATTGGGGTGATTCTGCCATTTGACTGCATATGGGACTGCAGATACAGATAGGAAGATGAGAAGATGTGACTGACTGGTGATTTTAATTTCATGCCCTTTATTTAAGATGATTAGTGAAGTGCCTGAGGGACTTTCCCTGAACAACATGACCACACTAGTCTCACTGAATTATATGGAACTCACCTTTTTCCCACCTCTCATGGAGGGAGGGTGTGAAGCTGCAGCCTTTTCATGTGCTCTTTTAGAGATGAAACCAAGCATAGCAAGGAGGACTCACACTCTGCAGCAATAAGAGACCTGGAAAATAAGACTTATTAGAGAAGATGAAAACAATAAGGGTGCTCAGGAGACACCCAATCACATCATATATATCTACAGAAAAGCAGGGCTGGATAGGAAAAAATATCATAGGGGGCTTACATTAGGCATTGGGGGAATTTTAGAGCAGTGACAATAGTGAAGCTGATTGCCTGGGAAGGTGTGGATCCTACATCTTGGGTGGCTTGGAAAAACAGACTAGACCAGTACTTATTAGGGAACTATTTAAGTTGATAGGATCCTGCTCCAGGGCTGAAAGATGGATTAGATGCTCTCTCTCAAGACTCTTTCTAAATTGGTTCTTAATTTCATGGTGTGCATGAAGTGCCTGTCTTCTGCAGTGTGTCCATGTTTCCAGAAGGAGAGAAGGATAATAATACAGCAGTCACCTCTTCAGGGAGGTGAGACAGAGAGTGGGGGGGTCAGAGAAATCTGTGAGACAAAATAAAAAAATCCAACCCTAAAAACAGCATTGTAGGAAGGGGAGATGAAAAGGAATAAAATTAAAACAAAGATTATTCTATAATCAGCACAAGAAATAAATCCATCTAGGCTAGAGCATCTAAAAAAATATATGTGAATGTGTCCTGCAGCATTGTAGCAGAAAATTCCAGTAGGTTTCATAAAAATCAGAGAATTGGTTAGGTTGGAAAATATCTTTAAGAACATTGAGTCCAGCCATCAACTCAATAGTACCAAGCCCAGCAATAAACCATGTTCCTAAAAGAAATATCTACATATCTTTTAAATACCTCCAGGGATGGTGACACCACAACTTCCCTGGGCTGCCTCTTCCAGTGCTTGACAACCCTTTCTGTGAAGAAATTTTCTTAATATCCAGTATGAATTTCTCATGGCACAACCTAATGCTATTTTTTCTCATTCCAGGAGCCCAAACATTAAGGTATGTCTTCAAAGCATGAAAATAATATATCAGATTTACATCACAGCTGAAAACCCAGGTCAGAAAGCTCTGAAAAAGAAAGAAAAGTGGCAAAAGTGTGACCAAGAAAGTAAAGATTAGAAAGGACTGGGGTGAACAGTTCCTGTAGGGGATACTGGAGTACAGTCCTAACTGGGGTTCAAAGGGAGGATTCCTAAGGGAGAATTACAGTGATGGTTTTAAAAAGGAAGAAGTGAGGTCAGAGCTAAGGATAAACTTTCTGATGCTGAGATCAGCTGGGGCCAAGAGGAGCACCCTCTTCCTGTGATGAAACACTTGAAAAGGAACCAGAAGAACAGGATGTATCTGGGTGAAGGGCAAATCCAACCAAGCCCTGGAACCAGGCAAGCTCACAGTGGCTGCCAGCCCTCGTCCCTCACAGTCACTGCAGCACTCTGACAGGGGCTCCCCTCCCAGCAGCCCAAAGCCAGCAAAGCTCTTTCTGCAATGGCAGACAAATTGCTGGTCAGGATGGAGCCCTGTTCACAAGGCTGGGGTGCTCAGCTGCATACAAAAAGTCACCCAGAGTACTGACAGCCACAGCAGGGCTGTCACCCCTTGCCCACATTACCAGGACACAGCTCCTGCAAAAGACTGGAGGGACCTTCACCATAGCTATTTTCAACCACAACGTGTCTCCTTTTCTTCTCCTCTTTAGAAGACAGCCCAGCTTCCCAGCCTTACTGGGCTAACATTTGGGCTGAGCTAACATGGGGCTGTCTGTGACATCAGGAATTTGTATGTCTCCAACAGCTCTAATACCTCCAGTAAAAGAACAAGCCTAACAGTGTTCCAAAAGCCCAGGCTCCGGTTCTGTGGGAGCAGTAGAGAAAAGGTGTCTCCTTACCTCCATTTAACCATGATGCAAGAAGACAGAACCACAACATGTTATGGCATTTCAACGGTGAAGTCATCCAGCCCATAAAAAAAGCTATTGAAGAAGACTCAAACCCACCCATTTTCTGAGCTGATTCTTTGTTCTCCGGAATAGAGATCAGCAAAAACTGCCACTCTGGTCAACCAGGCAAGGAAACATAACAGAGCAACTCTAACCACTACATGCAAGAGTTGGTGCACCTGTCCCAAAGGGTGAGAGCAGGAGGAATCTCACCATGTGCTTGCTGACTATAGCCTAAGGAAGTTTTCATAGAGTCACAAAATAGTTTGGGTTGAAAGGGGTGTTAAGGACCATCTAGTTCCAACCCCCTCTCACCTTCCCCTAGAGCAGGCCAATTTGGCAGTTGTTTGTCTTAGCTGTGATTGCGCAAATTAACAAACCAGGCAGGTGGTGGTAGGTCAGTATCAATCTAATTGCCACTCCTGATATGGAGCTTCCCAAGGCACCCCCTCAGCTGTGCTCCCTGCAGTGCTTCACCAAACAACTCTAGGCCAGAAAGGAGGGGATTTTATTGCCTCTCCCCACCTGCTGCTGATGGAGTGCTTGAGAGAGGACCTAGGGAGGGAAGACTGGTGGCACCCAGATGGTTCAAGGGAGCAAAGTCACACCCATGGCTTCGTGGGAGTCACAGAGCCAAGAGTTTGTCAGCAAGGAAGTTACTGTGTCTGGAAGAGTAGCATTCCTGTAACAAGGTGCCAATTTTCACACATTAATTTCCCACGTTGACTTGACGTGGCATGGTGCCAATGCCAGCTCCCAGGTGGCTGCACTGAGCTCTCTCCTTGCACCTCTCCCCAGACAGGGGCTCCCTCCCTCTTCCAGCCAGTGCTGGATCTGCCTTACTTAAAAATACCCTCAGGGTTCAGTTTCCAGACAGCCAGGTCAGTCCCTTAAGGTGTGAGCTCCTGTTGGCTAAGAATTTGTGAACAAGGGAAGAGAAGTTGAAGACTAAAAAATAATATGAATGTAATAACACAAAACTGCTGCTTAAATGCTTTCTTCTGTGGCTAAAAAATATGGTAGTTAACATGTTATCACACCTGTACAGTAACACTCCTGAGAAAATACACAGAATCAAACTGCTGAATACTATCAAATGATGGAACTTCATCTTTCAAGAGATCAAAATGTTTAAAGGAGTGCAAGGGACATTTTATTTTACCTTTGACACTGTGCCATTTATGCTGTTAACATTGATGAATGCTTGGCACCCTGGCAGTAGTTACCTTTTCAGCTGGAATAATTGCCAGGGAATCCAACTGCTTTTCAAATATCCTGAAGGAAGATAAATTTTCACGCACATTAGTGTGTTCAATGAACTCCCTGTTCCAGCATGAGTCATCAGCAGTGTCATCTTTGAGCATTCAAGAAAACAGCACCTGTTTAATCCATTGGTGGATGATGTAGAAAGTGCATCCTTATTAGATATTCACACCTCCTATTAAACATCCATATTTCAACCTCTGCTTCAGTGAACTTCTCCAAATGTGCAACTTCAGCAGCAGCAGAGCTCATTTGCTGAGAGAGTTCCAGGCTGGCAGCTGAGGCAGAGCAGTTTGCCAGTTTTAAGCCATGGTCTGGTATCAAAAAAACCCCAATGAATACATCAGATGAAGCCTTTTAATACAGTAGTAATATCCACACATTATATTTATTGTTCATGTCAGTGGTTAGGACACTCAAAATGGAATAGGAATTCAGTGCTTCAGGAATCATGTCTGAGTAGGCTCTCAAGTAACCTGGATCTGCTCTTGTCTCTTGAAAAAGTGGCCTGACACCCAGCCCCTGCCAACTTGATTTAATGTGTTTAGATGGCTTTATTCTTTCCTGCTTTCTGCAAGAAGTCTTCCCTCACATATAGCTGGAGCTGATGATGAAGGTCCCAGGTCCTGGGAAGGCAGTGGACAAGTGGCAGGAATTTGTGAAGGAAATAGCGAAAACAATGGGAACCTATAAATTCCTTTTAAAAGCCTAATTCTGGGGGGAGAGGGAAAGGATCCAGCCAAAGACAATCTGGTGATGAGGCACAGATAGATTGCAGGTGCTAAGCTGATCTGGGAGATTTTGGATGACAAAGATCCATTCAGCCACTCATCTACTCCTTTCCTCTGGCTATCCACTGCACCCATTGCCCACCTCTGGCATGGAAGCCTCCTTAAAACAAACTGCATTTGGAAACTGGAGCTATGAATTGGCAATGACATTATTTTTTGCCCTGGATTGCATTTTTTTCTGAAAAATATCAGTCTATCAGTTTCCCACCCTCTCTTTGTCTTCAGTCAATTACTAACCAAGTCCCATGAATAGGAAACAAGATTTTATCATAAAAAGCAGGTGAGTAAGACCTTACAGGTGAGTAAGACCTGCCTTGGAAATGAACAGATGCACTCAAATCAAGAAAAAGAAAAATTAATTGTTACCACCAGGCTTGAGACAAAAGGCTATGCCATGGCTACAAACTCTCTGCATGATGGGAAATATTTGAAAGCAGGCATTTCTTTGAACTTTTACACAGATGCAGACTGTCTGTTTACACTGGAGATCTTTGAAGTGTGAAGATCCAGACAACCTCCTTTACCACTTTTTCTTAAGCTGAAGTGACCTGGAACTGACTGAACCTTCCTTATAATTTGTGGCATTCCATCTCTCAGTAGTGTGACATTACTCCATCGATGCCATCCTTTTCTGGATGCAGGACTTTTCCTGAGTGTGCACACATAATTTCCTGTGAGCCCAGGTGTTATGTGCTTTTCAGCACCAGTTTCTGTCTTCTCTTTCCAGCCCTTTAGTGTGAAGCATAACACACTGCATAAGGAAGAACCCAGAAACCCATGCCCTGCAGCACAAGGAGACATGATCCCAGCTTTCCAAATGATGCTCATCTTTCCCATCCCTTTCCAGTCCAACATTAGTCACTGGATGATAAGCATCATAAAATAAAGTATTCACAAATGAGTGTGACAGCACTAAGGTCATGTTTGCTTAAAGCCTGCATTGATCTGGGCATTTTTTAATCATCAGTCACTTTCAGAAAGCAAAATCTGTTGTTGTATTTGTTTGGTTGTTCTTTCATTCTTTCACACATTCATGAGGAAATGTGTCCATTGCTCTAGACAAGGCAGGCCTCCAGGCAAAACCCCTGTTTAACATGTTGTAGTACTGTGGATGTTTCAAACTGAAAGAGAGTAGGTATATATATATATATGTATATAATAAGATATTACAAAAAAAAATATCTTTACTGTGAGGATGGTGAGGTACGGAAACAGATTGTCCAGAGAAGTTGAGGATGCCCCATGCCTACAAGAATTCAAGAATTCAGACTGGATGAAGCTCTGGAAGCCTGGTCTTGTGGAAGATATCCCTGCCCATGGCAGAGAAGTTGGATCAAGATGATCTCTAAAGTCTCTTCAACACAAACCTTCCTGTGCTTCTGCATTCGAATACTACAGCAAACATCAGAAAAATATAGAGAAAGAGCAAACAGTGAATGACTGTTTGGGGCAGAGATCCAAACTCCAGAGCACTCAGCATGGAGGTGCCTGGGGTGGTTCAGCACCAGCTGGAGGAGTTTGTGACACGGCACCACGTAGAGACATGGGTCCAGGTCCTGTGAGCAGGCTGGGTATGGGGTACCATGCTGGCCTCCAGGATCCAGAGCAAAAGGAGCTATCCTGTGTGGCATAGAGGTGCTCACACAACTAGCTCCCACTTGGTTTCACCAGTGATGGGGGAGCTCTGAAACCAGGGTCAGCCACTGCTGGCCCGTGCCCAGAGCTGTGTATGCCACAAGAAAAATGGCCTTGATATTGTTTGTCCTCAGAGGCACAGGTTGGAAAGAAGAAGGTAGAAATCGCCAAGGCACCTGAATTGATGACTTTCAAGTCATCAAAAAAGGTCATCAAACCTTTCCATGACTTGTGCCTCAAATCCTGTGATCAGTTTTGTGCTTCCCATTGCAAGAAAGACATTGAGCTGCTAGAATATTTCCAGAGAAGGCAGCAGAGAAGGGAAGGGTCTGCAGCTCAAGTTTGATGAGGAGCAGCTGAGGGAGCTGGGTTGTTCAGTCTGGAGACAAGGGGACTCAAGGGAGACCTTCTCCCTCTCTACAGCTCCCTGACAGGAGAGTGTTGCCAGGTTGGGCCAATCTCTTCTCCCAAGCAACAAGTGACAGGACAAGGAGAAATTGCCTCAAGTAATGCCAGGAGATGTTTAGATTAAATATAGGGAAAAGTTTTTGCACTGAAAAGCAATGTAAAGCCCTGGAACAGGCTGCCCAGGGAAGCGGTGGAGCCGTCATACCTCCAGGTGTTCAAAAAACGTGTGGATGTGACACCTGAGAGTATGGTTTGGTGATGAGCGTGTGGTGGTGGTGGTGGGTTAAAAGTTGGAATTGATTATCTAGGAGGTCTTTTTCAACCTTAACAATTCTTTCTATGGTTCTGTCATGCTTCTGCCTACTCATCACAAAAGGATATGGACCAGGATTTCTCACTCACTAACAAACATCTTGGTTGTGGAGATAAAAAACATTCTGGCAAGGAGCTCTCTCCAAGATAATGTATGATAATGAATACATTTTCACAGATAGGCCCTTACTCTGTTGTACAAACCAAAAAGTCACTGGTTTCAGCAAGTCAGGAGATCAGGCTACAGATATCCTGGCTATATGAAATCAAAATTTTACAACAGGAATATCCCCAATAAAATGTTTCTTAACTTATCAGTGACATATATGCAAACAAAATCCCCCCTAAATGTGGTGTGTAATCAGTCTGCCCTGTTTCTTCAAATCTGGGATGTTACAAATGTACCTGATAGGGATGATATACTGACAAATGTCTGGTGCTTGTGTGTCTCTTAGGCCCCAAGCAACCATCTGGGAAACCACAAGATTTTAATGAGCCTGCCCCAGAGACATTAGGTTTTATGGAAACAGATTAGAAGAATTTTACATAATTTAATCGTGCAGTATAATGAGATTTTATTTTTTTTTAATGCCATATAGATAAGACATGGGAAATTCCAGCCCCAGTGATATGAAATGTATGGAAATGATAATCAGGTGGATACAGAATGAAAATGAAAACAAATGTGAAAGAAGAAAGGCAGATATTTAAAACAGGGATTATAAGATTATTGGAAGACTAGGGCAGTTGCATACAAGAGAAAAATCCCGTGTGTAATATTTTTCAATGAAGTTTTTGTCATCTTTATTTTTTAACTTCTGCATGAACATAGAGGGAAAGGTTAAGGAGTACAGC